TCAACAAACCATGGGAGGAATTAGACCCGTGAACGTGGCGTTGTATGTATATAGCCACGTTCACGGGTCTAGGGAGGAATAAATTAAAAACATAAGAATCATGAATGATTAGGCCTAGGCCAGGGGACCTAGGCTAGGGCTAGCCTGGCCCTAGGCCTCCAGGCCTATGATAAAAAAGGGTCTATTCTTAGGCAATTGACGAGGCAAACCATCATGACCATGCTAACCAGCATAAGTCAAGTGCTAGCCTTGACATGGCCCGCACTGGAGTAGGATAGACTCCAGGACTCTGCATCATCATGCATGCAATAAAATATTTTGGGTATTTATTATTATTATTGATAAATGGATAGTAGGCTATTATGCAAAGAAATAGGGGGGAAAATGTAGCTGAACTCATATTGCAATTTCATCATAACCTTTATTTTATTTTAATTATTCTTTATCTTTTCTGATTTGGGATTTTGCAGGAAATTACTCCAGAGATGACAATCATGTGGACTTCATTCCAACTGTATTTAGCGGAACTACAGCTGACCAACTCAGGAAAGGGCAGGAGCAACTTAAACGTTACGAGAGATGGCAGAAGCGCTCAGATCGAAAGAGGAAGCAAACCACCACTTCACCATCCACGCCTCAGCTGGAACCAGACCCAGTGACTAAGTACGTTTGCATTTTTCTTATGACGTTTGATTTACATACACTATCAGTCTCCTTTTTGAAAAGATCACTTCACTTAATGAGATGTGAGAGAAGTATCAGGGTTCTCGCGGCATGAAAACAAAAGATAGAAAATGAAGTCTTATATAAGGTCAAATAAAAAAAAACATGTTTAGTGCTTGCCTTTTTGCAAAAAAGGAAGCGGGAGGCCCTTTGATTGATTTAGTTCTCCAAAATGGCCACCTGACTAGGCTATGTTGCAAAATGGCTGCCAGTTTTTTGTTTTTATTATTACCGCCATTGGACTCAGGAAATGACATGCCAGCTTTTTATGGGCTAGGCCAAAATGATGTCTATTTAAAATTTATCATTTTTTGGTTGCTAAAAAAAATGAAATAGGAGGCGGCCTCCAAAGAGCAAGTGGGCGGGAACGCTAAACGTGTTTTTTTTTATTATTTGACCTAGTTCTTTTCTCAAATTCCAGCCCTAAACAGTAAATTAATAGTCATGGAATTTTTTTGAGGACCAATATATATTTTGAATTTTAAACTTTTTGTAAGTTCATTTTTTTTTTACTTCAGGCCCAATAAAAAAAAACAGGTTATCATCCCCGCCCACATGCCTTTTTGAAGCAACCGCCTTTCATTTAAATTTTTTATACACCTCAATTTTTTTTATAATGCATAAAAATAAAAATTAATTGGGTACTTTGATTAAATACATACAACATTGTTTAATGTGAATAAGTTTACTCTACATAGGCCAAAAAATAATAGTTCCGCATCTGGTTACTCTACCTACCCTGAATGGGGAAAAAAACCCCAGCACATCACGGCTTTCCCTACATGTATACCTACCTACTCATGTAATTTTCAAATGCCATGTATTAATCAGAAGCATTTCTTTGGCCTAATGCAAAGCCTAATGCTAATTGCCTTTTCCCAAAATCTTTTTGTTTTTTAAAAAAATTTTCCAGCAGCTCGCCTTTGCTGCCACCATCCACAAAGAGGAGGAAGGAAAATTGTGTGCACGAAACAACTACCCGACAAGCTTCAAGTCAGACCATGGATCCCCAGGAATGTGACCCACACAAAATGTACCGTGATGAAATAGCAAATCTAAAATCTGATATTCGCTCCCTACACAGTAAAGTGGACAAACTAAAGTGGTCCAATGATAGAATTAAATCTGACCAAAAATGTAAATTCTATACTGGTCTTCCTTCTTATTTAGTTTTTTTGTGGTTATTTCATCAGCTTGTTCAGGGTGTGTCTTCTTCGTTTTGCAGATGTCTTAATTTAAAGGATCAGTTATTTTTAGTTCTTATGAAGCTTAGGCTGGATTTACTTTTTGATGACATAGCGGATCGCTTTCATATTTCACGATCCAGTGCTTCCAAGATATTTAATTTATGGATTAAGCACATGGCTGGCAAGATGAAGCCATTGATACATTGGCCAGATAGAAACACTCTTAGACGCACTCTTCCCAAAGCTTTTAAGAAGTCAAAGAAGTATCGCAAAACAACAGTCATCATTGACTGCTTTGAAATATTTATGCAACGTCCTTCAGATCTCAAACTTAGAGCACACACATATAGTCACTACAAACATCACAATACTATCAAAGTTTTAAAAGGCATTTCACCTACTGGTGCAGTTATGTTTTTGTCCAGATGTCTTGGAGGTAGAGTTTCCGATAAAACATTGACCCAGAAGAGTGGGCTTTATGAGAAACTGTTGCCTGGTGACCTCATCTTAGCTGACAGGGGGTTCACTATTGGTGAGGAACTTGCTGTACATGGTGCCACTCTGGCCATTCCTGCATTCACTAAAGGGAAGAAACAACTATCTGGACAGGAACTTGCAGGTTCACGCAGTCTATCAAATGTCCGCATTCATGTAGAAAGAGTCTGTGGACACTACTGTCCATTTCATTTTATACCCTAAACGGGCTCCTTGCGCAAACAAGAGAGGCTTCTTTGTTACCACTTTTGAGAACCATGTGCATGAATTCCTGAATGTACCAAAGTTTTTAGTCACAGTGTCTTCATGTGAGAGTCAGGCGTGGTCAATGCGCAAATATGTTCATGTTTCTAACAATGGTCTGCCAGACTAATCCGCACCCCACTGACTTCTGATCTTGCTAAAAATGCAGTGGATAAACTGGGAACCAGTCTAGGTCTCCCCCAACTCTCTTTCTCTGACTCTGAACATAAGTACGAATCTTTACCATGTCAATAATGGAGTAATTAAGGCCCCCAAAAAAGTCTCCGGTTTCTGGTGTGCGGGCGCATCGCCGTAGCCATGCGCGTCGGCAAAAAGAAAAAGTTTTTTTTTTTTTAATGAAAGATGATGTCTCAAACCGCCAAACTCACTGGTTTGACTGGAATCCTGCTGCTGCACAATTTTAACATGTTTTTAGATGGGGTTATGATCAAGAATAAGCTTTATACGGCCTCTCTGGACTCCCATTATATTTGCATAAAGTTAAGTCGGGCACCATTTGCAGTCATCAGACGACATTTGAAAAAAAAAAGCCGCGTCGCCGCACCACTTTTTCGGCAAGCTCCATACCAGAAACCGGAGACTTTTTTTTTTGGCCTAAGGTTCCACAAATTAGATTTTTTAACTGTGCTTGCTCTTCAGTGTGTGGACTGCAGAGCAATGCAGTGGCATAGCCAAAGGGCACCCCCAACCAAAACATCCCGAGTTTCCTTAATTAAGGTGACAAAAAAGGTTTTGGTAGTTTCATCTGCCGCTCTATTTTAATTTTCATTTTCTGATTCCGGTTATAGTACAGTATTTTCATCTTGATTGGGGATGAGTGAAAAAATACATGCATTGGGGTTCACTGTTTTAAATGCATCTAAATCTAGATCTCAAGTCAAGTGGCTGTTGATGTGGGGTTAAATGGTCATACTGTAGTTTTTAGAGTGGTTATCGGTCAAATTCCCTTCATTTTATAGGCAATCTTTATTCCAAAAACATGCATAGGGGTTCAATCTTTTCAATGCGAGATCAACCCTTGCCATTCTTGCATTCACGAAGGTGAAAAACTATCAGGAGAAGAATTTGCAGGTTCACACAATCTATACAATGTCCAAATCCATTTATTTTACAAGAATAAATAATTTCAACTTAACTTTTTTATTCCATTGCTTTTTGTGCAAATTTAAATATGGTGAAGTACAGGAACAGTATAAATGTACATAGGTTGGCCTATAGTTTGACATGACCTAAGGCAAACAAAAAAAAAGTCTCCGGTGTCTGGTGTGGAGTTTGTCCCAAAAGTCGTGCGGCAACACAGCTTGTTTTTTTTTTCACTTTTTTTTTCAAATGTTGGCTGATGATTGCAAATGGTGCCCGACTAAATTTAGTGCAAAATATATGGGAATCTAGAGAGGACACATAAAGCTTACTTGTATACTTGATCGCAACTCCCATGTTTTAAAACACGTTAAAATTGTGCAGCAGCAGATTCCAGTCAAACCAGTGAGTGTGGCAGTTTTGAGACATCATCTTGCATTGAAAGTTTTTTTTTTAATTTTGCTGGTTTGCATGGCTACGGTGACGTGCGCACACCAGAAACCGGAGACTTTTATTTTTTGGCCTAGCACAAATAAATAGGCCTAACTGTAATACATCAATAGTTTTTTTAATATTTTGCCTTCAAACTGACCATACAACTCACAAAAATATTATTTAAATTACATTTGAATTTGAAATACATGTATATGATAAAATATGTGATATTCCAATTCTTCTGCAATATATTAATATTTAGGCCAAACAAAATAATTTGTGTGTTTACGGTAACGGTCTGGGGGGAAAAAATCCAGGTAGATAGGTAGGGAAATGATTTTATGCTGTGATTTTTTTTTTTTCCTTTCATTCCAGATTGAATGTTCTTTTGCAATGTTTGAGACTCATCAACAATATAGGTACTGTATTTTTTTGCAAAATGACACAGTTTTAGGATGGCAATTTGGCCACAAAATTTCCAGGTACTTTAAACATGACATTTTTTTTTTAGCCTATGGGAATAAATATGTAATTGGTTGGTTTAAAACATGTACACTTAAAACCAAATTGGTTTGTGAACAAAAAGTTGCCAGAATTTTAGATTACAGTGTACATACATGTAGTAAAATTGCCTTTTAGTGATTTGTTGTTGTGTCAGTTCATGACAGAAAGCCAATGAGCAAACTTTCCTCACAAACGTCAAAATGAAAGATGCCAATTGTTTTTCCATAAAAAAATCTTAATTACACAGTTTATTTTATACAGTATATTTAACAAATGTCTAGTGCACTTATAAAAAATTATACATTCAAACAGTCAATGGCTTTGGCTCCAGCAAAACTTTGTGGATCTAGGTTGTGTGCATTTTTTGTTGTTGTGTGGACATTTAACCTCCACACACTGCACCCCACAACATGTGCAACTGACCATGGCATCAGGAGATGCTCCAAGAAATGGTGAATCTGGGTCTATGTAGAGCCCAACATCCCACAGTGTAACATTTTGATGGCCCTCTAACTCTAAACACTGTTTCAGAGAAGCCAAGGCCACTGACTCATGATCAATCCCCCATTTCATGGCCCTGGTTGGAAAGAACGAGTTAAGTCCCAGCATTTTGGAGCAGAGTGAAGAAACATCCCTCTTTGATGATCCATTCATGAATTTGACCACAGACCCCAGTACTGATGCAGTAATTCTACCATAACGATAGAGGTGCCACAAGTTCGATTTTCTCTGTCCAGATGTGCTTGATGCAATGAGTTCTGCTTGCTCTTCAGAGATTTGCTGACGGTCCAGAACTTCAGTTGCTTTAAGGTGACAATAGGGTGTTGGTAGTTCTGTCTGCAACTCTAGTTTTACATTATTTTCATTTTCTGATGCTGTGTCAGTGTCTTCATCTTGCTTAGGGAGGAGTGAAAAAAATGCATGCCTCTGGGCTTACCCTTTTAAATGCATCTAAATCAAGATCTCCTAAAGTGGCTGTTGATGTACGGTTGAGTGGGCGTACTGACCTATTTTCTTGCCGGCCTTGACTTGACTGATGTTTAGGCTTTGTGAAGCTAAGATCTTTAAGGGTACATGGGTCTAAGTCCCTCCCATTCATGCAGTCTTTGTTCCAACTACAGGCCTTTTCAGTACATGCCTGTGAAGTGTAACCTAGGCGGTTCGCTGCCTCCAACTTGAACATTACTGCTGCAATATGGCTGCATGCCTCTCCAAGCCTGGAAATCAAATATATGTAACACAAAATGATGTTAATGGAAGACAATCTCCTTATCACCCCAATCCAAGAACGCAAAAGTGTAGGGCCCCTGTTTAGTTTCGATCAAATTGCAGTCAAGGTGTTTTCTTATTTAAATATGACCTTTTTAACCTGAAGCAGATTTCTGATGACACATTTCTTTTGTTATTGTTGAAGTTCCTTGGGGTAGAAATTCAAATGTTCTTATGCTGTTTATGGTTGGTGCTATGTGATTCAGCACACCTTACGTGTTCACAGTACCCCCAAATTACCCTAAAAAATCACCACCCCATACATGAATGTTCCTACTGTCACCGACTAGTTTCATTGGTTAGTCAAATAATTAAAAGTGGATTTTGTTCCCTCATAGGAACCAGGCCCGTAGATACACAATCACCTTGTGAGTCGGCACTAAACCTAGACCTGTTAAGCTAGCGTCAATAACATAGCCAAGTTCACGGGTCTTAAAACATAATATTTTTGTCAGATTTTAAAGTAATATTCCAAGTGATTTTTGATGCACTTCTAATGACGTAAGCAATTAATTTCGTAAAGCGCATTGATTTTTTTCCTGATGATGTAATGAGCTATGTAGGAATAAATTATTTTGCTTTGCCAACGACTACTACTAGCATTCAGTAGTTGGCTACTGTTACTATTGTAAAGTTGGTACTTGGAGGTACATGTGACTATTAGTATTAAGTACCATTTACCCTGAAAAAAATATTTGCACTTAAAATCCTTCAACTTGGCTAAACTTTAAAGAGTAAATCTTGGAATGAATTTTTACAAAACATAAAGTAGGCCCCTAGTCATAAAATATTTATATGCTGCTTCTGAAAAGCATGTTGTCCTTTTCGGAATGAACGTTGCAACCTGACGCTGCTTTTTTTTTTCTTCAAAATTATATCATCTCATCATAATGATGATTGGACATGACTCTGGGACTGAGAAACACTTCCAATTTTGTTACTGTTAGGAAATACTTCATAAATTCTCTTGACTGTCCATACTAGACTTTGTACACAACCGCTAAAGTGGCGTCAGGTTGCAACACTTTTTCCTTGTCACAAAACAAATCGAAGTAAAGCTCTTCTCTTACCCTGCCATGCACATGCAGTGAGCAGCAACTACTGATCCTGTGGATTTGTTGATCATAATCCAGGTACTCACAGGGGGTTTGGTCAAGCTCTGTGAATGAGTGACTCTGCTTCGAAGTACACACACAGGGCTATCAGCACTAACTGAAGAATACAGTATGGCCTGGACAAATCCATTCACGAAGTAGCTGTAGGAGTCCAATGACTTAAATGATTTCATTGAGTCTTTAGTGTATGGGCCAGGTGAATTAATCAAATAATTAAACATGTCGCCATACTCGAAGCTTTCAGGCCACAAGGTTGGGTTGTTACTGTACTGCAATCCTCCTCCACCGAACGGATCCGGTATCTGTAAAGTTCCGTTTGGAAATTGAACTGTTAATTTGTCATTGTACCTTTCTCTCGATAACTGATCAAGTTGGTTGACATATGATGATGTACACTCCGAACGACTTGCCTTCGGAAAATACAAATGCTCTTCATATATTTGATTAATAACGGATAGTATCGGCCGTCTTCTTGCGTACGAGTGCTCGTCCGAGTCCATTTTACTATTTAGAAAGTGCGCTGAAAGCAGACGTTTGCCAACCAGCAAATGCGCATGCGTCGGTTTCCGGTCAATGTTTACAAACAATGGAAAGGCCTATTAAGCAGACCAATCAGTGGGCGTATGGGGTCACAAGTTGTAGCGTGAATAACCGACTCCATGAAATGTGGACTCATTGGTAGTACTGCGCACGCGTGAGTACTATACTATGCTATTTTTAGGATCGTTTCGGGAGAGTGACCTGTCACGTGCGAGGGATCAACCAATAATAGGGAAATAGGGGTCCGATTTTCATAGGAGTCGGATTTTCATGTGACACCGTGTCTAGGTTCCTTGCTCTATGCTTTTAAATAGCGACGATCTTTTCGCGTTGTGAAAAAATGGAAGTTGTTGGAAGCATTATAGGTGTATATAGAGCGCTGGTGAAAAAAAGGCATTCCAATGGAAAAGGGCGGTCTGCACAAAATAGGCCTACATGTATTGTACTTACAGGTACTTACAGGTCCTCTTCTGATGAAAGGCCTTGTGTGGCCTCTACTATCAGATCTTCATAAAAACTAGATTTGAATTCTGGTGTGCGCAAGCCTAGTGTGGAGGTGGATACTGGCATGGGCGTCGCCAGGATTTTTTCTAGAGGGGGGCAAAACAATTTTTTGCCAAAAAATGCTTGTATTTCTCAACACATTCTCGATTTATCAGTTTTAGAGGGGGGCAGGGACATTTCCCCCACCCCCCAACTCATTAAATTTACACCACTTTGTCTTCGCGCCTCTTTTTTTTTCAGTTTTTCTTCCTTTTTTTTTTTTTTTTTTTTTGCTTTTCCGGGGCCCCCTTGCCCCCCCCCCCCCTCGCGACGCCCATGGATACTGGGGTGTCTATGTCATATTTAAAGGGGTGTGAAGCCCCACATCTTATCCAATCTGCCCTCAAAGGACTGTGTACTAGGAGCTGAAACCACAACTTCTGGGAGGCTATTCCATATGTCAGTACATCGATGCACAAAGGAGTACTTTCTGACATCCAACCTTGTCAGGATCTTGTATATTTTATACTGATGGCCTCTGGTCACACTAGAGCTTAGGGGGATGAAATTGGAGACTTTGTTGTCATACTTTCCGCTAAGTATTTTGTACATTTCTATCATATCTCCTCGTATTCGCCGATAGGCCAAGGTTGGTAGTTTGAGATGTTTTAGCCTTCCCTCGTATGACATGTCCTTAAGACCTGGGATAAGTTTGGTCGCTCGTCGCTGTACACTCTCCATTTCAATTATATGTTTCTTGTGACGTGGTGCCCAGACTTGGTTGGCATACTCGAGATGCGGTCTTACCAGAGCTTTATACAACAGGAAACTATCCTCATCCAAATGGTCGTACGTTCTTCTAATTAAACCCATGATTGAGTTTGCTTTATTTATCTTTGTCGACATGTGACTTCCAAAGCAAACTTTATTGTCAACGATGACCCCAATGTCCTTTTCTTCATTAACTTGCTTCAGTGGGTATCTGTTAACTCTCTCCCATGGTATATTGTTGATCTTCTACTTTGGTCTTCCCGATCCTCATTACTAGTCATAGTGCTACATTTATCTGGGTTAAATTTAAGCAGTGAATCCTTTGTCCATCCCACCAGGCGGTTTATGTCATCTTGGAGTTTGTCACAATCCTCCTCGGTTAAGATACATTTAAATATCTTGGTGTCGTCTGCAAATAGGTAGACTGTTGAGTCTTCTATCACACTTGGTAGAGAGTTGATGTATATGACGAACAAGATTGGCCCTAAAACCGACCCCTGGGGTATTCCACTCAGAACTTCGTACCATTCAGAGTATGCACCATTTACTGCGACTCGTTGTTTTCTATTACTGAGAAAGGCCTCAATCCACTTTAGAATTGGCCCTTGAATACCGTAGTATTGCAGCTTATCAATAAGATGTCTATGGGGGACCTTATCGAAAGCCTTCATGAAATCACAATATACCACATCGATTGCTCCACCAATATCCAGGATCTCTGTCCACTCATTTAGTAAGGTGATAAGTTGCAAAACAGTTGATCTGCCACTGATAAACCCATACCGTTTGGGGCTGAAGAGATTGTTGTCCTTCATGTAATCCACAAGTGAGTTCCGTATAAGAGTTTCCAAGACTTTTGGTCTAAAGTTACATGTCACTTTTCTGCTACCCTTCTTGTGGATGGCAGTGATATGTTGGCCCTCTTCCAATCATCGGGTAGGATCCCTGTTTGTATTGAAGTGTTCAGTGAAGATAATCGCCAGAGATTTGCTGCATACTTCTCGTAACTCGTATAACTCCCTTGGGTGAATTTTATCTGGTCCTGGCGACTTAGATGTTTTTAGTTTATCCAACACATTGTACACAGATTCCACACTTATATCAGATTCCAGTTCATGGGCCATGTTGACTGACTCCGGTAAGTTCCAGTGACCATCTGGTTCTCGCGTAAATACTGAAGTAAAGTAGTTACCCAACATTTCCGCCTTTTCCCTATCAGTTTTCGTCTCCAGATTTGGATAGGTTGGGTTTCCCTGCACGGACTTTTGTTTTCGCTCCAACGTAGCTCCAAAACTTTTTTGGGTTCCTTTTAACTTGCCTTGCCAGGTTCTTTTCATACTCCTTTTTAGCTTTTCTAGTACACTTTTTCACTTGGTTCCGTAATTTGCAGTACTCTTGGTAGACTTCACCTTTCTTGTAGTCGATGATTTTTTTCCAAAGTATGTTTTTCTTTTTAATCTTGCCCAACGTTTTCCTATCCAAGGGTATCATACCCCGTTTAGAACTAGTTTTTATGATACTTTTAGGAATGCATTCCTCCTCAGCTTCGTGGAACCTTCGGGTGAATTTTTCCCATTGAGAATTCATATCGTTACTTCAATCCTCAAACTCCTTTTCCCAGTTTATGTTTAACAGTTCCTTCATTTTGTCGTAATTCCCTTTGTCGTAACAAAGTCTAACTTTCGGTGCCGTATCTCTATCTGATGTACACTTGAAGTCTATCGTCAACACTGCATGGTCGCTCTTCCCTAGTGGTGCCTCACAATCTACTGATCATATCATGTCCATTCGTAAACACCAAATCCAATAGCCTAGGGACGGAGTTTGTGTGCCCCTACCTCTAGTCGGTACCTCAACATGTTGTGTCAAGTAACAATCCCTAACAGCTTCCACAAATTTGAATTCCTTATCCTCCTCATTTGTATTTGTACTGTATGTAGACCAGTCAATTCCAGGGTAATTAAAATCACCTGTGATCAGAACTCGTGAGTAGTTTCTGTTGGTAATTACTTTAAGAAACTTTTTAATGTCATTGTTATTATCATTGCTTGAGTTCGGACTTCTGTACAAAGAGCAAAAAAGAAACAAATCTCCTTTCTCCAACTTAACTTCAACACCTTGTGCTTCTTTAACATTAAACTGGTGCAAATCAATGAAATTGTGCTGAATGGAGCTATGTACATAATTATAGTAGCATTCCTCTGCCGATGTCCTCTTTCAAATTCAGTGGTTCCATGTTGTATTCCGGTATACCATACTGAGATAAATACAGCTCGTATCTATAGTTCTTTGGCTTAACTTCAGATATGGCAACAATGTCAGGAGGATTAACTTCAATCCTAGCAACCAGTTCTTGAAATTTGTATTGGGTGAGAACATCGGCATTAGTAGACCATACAGTTAAATTGCATTTGCGGTGTGCTCCACCTGCGGATTTCTTCCTTACTGGTATTTTTAGCACCTTCCTTTCCCAGGGGAGCCCCTCACGACGAAGAGAAAATTTGGATCGTCATTTCCATCATTCTTGTCCTTGGCCTCCGCTTGAAGCTTTCTATCAGCCTCTCTTTCCTGTCTTGTCATATCTTGCCTGACACTTATTTTATTGTATGGCGCCTCTGCGTTGCCCAATTTATACAGGTTTCTCATGACTTTAATTTTTTCTTCCTCCTTCTGGAAGGACACTAATACTGGTCTTGGTTTAGAGGTTTCACTTATGCTTTCTTCATTTGGAAGTTTCTTGCCGAGTCTCTTAACTGTAACCGATGTGTCATCTTCGTGAGTATCTGTGGTGATTTTGCAAAGTTTCTTGGCATGCATTACATCCTGGTTATTGCATTCCTCTTTGTAAATACTGGTACTCTCGGGGAGATTGAAGATTATAATGTTCTTTTTCCTTGCTAATCTGTCATTCACATTGGTGAAAATGTTATTCATCACGGCTTCTTGATTGGCAGTAGGCCTACTTGATGGTGGCACAGAGTTTAGAGTGCTCTCATATGCATCCTGAGGACAGCTGATCTTAGATTTGATTTCATCAATTTCAGACTGCATCTCACTAAGTTTAGAGTTTACTTCTGCTCTGAATTCATTAATGAATGTGTTGCATCGATCCTCTATTTTTTCCCCTCTTTAATGCACCGCATTGTTTTGCCCACACATTTATCACAGAACCATGGAAAATGTTGCTTCCGAAATTTTCAGACACTTCAAACATCTCTTGTTATCACAATAATCACATTGCAGTAACTTACTCTTCTTGTCAGTAAAGCTTGCCTTACAGGTATCACAATCCCACATATCCCCATTCAGATCTGATGCCTTAGTACTAGTAGTTGCTTTCTTTGATCGACCTCTTGGTTTGCTGCTGACGTTTGACGTTGCAGAAGAAGCAGCGC